AAAAAAAAAAAAAAAAAAAAGAAGGAGCCGAATGAAATTACCAGTATTTGGCTTCTTGGCCTATAAGGCTGGCAATTTGGCATGGGCTGGCCGTGCCATGAGGTTGGTTGGAGTGTGGGTTGGTATATTGGCTACAGAAGGCAATCTGGCAATCCTGACCAAAGGAAATCTATCTGAAACATTTATTGGACAAATTTTTACAATGTAAAACAGTCATAAAGGAGAGTGGTTGCGTGAATATTCATAATGGGGAAATTTTGGAAAACACTTCTATGTCCATTAGCAGAGACAACCACACCACAAGCACTCCTCAGTGGAATCTATGAAGCTGTAGGAAGGATGAAGAGGCTCTTTCTGTACCATTAGAGAATAATATCCAATTTATTGATAGTGCAAAAAGCAAAGTGAGGATGGTACCTATTGCTACCATTTGTCTGAAATAAAAACGGTGGGGCTGGGGCTGGCTGTGTGAGATGGCCACCCATGAGTGTACAAGTTGAATATTTCTGGGAAAAAAAAACCAAACAAACAACTCTGGTTGTCTCTGGGAAGAGGAACCAGAGACTTGGAGGGTGAGGGTGGACAGAGACATACCTTGTGTAAGAATATTCTTCTGGATCTCTTGCATTTTGCACCACGTGCATGTATTAATTTTTTTAAGCCCCTCTTCCTTCATGCCACGGACAGGCTTTAATCTAAATAATGACTGCTCTGAGTCCTGCTAGAGGCTGTTCTTGCATGGGGTCCACTTCTTCCCCTAGCATGTTAAAAGCTGGGTGGGCAACACGTGGGAGCAATGATGACTTTATCAAATATGAGAGAAATTCGTTGCCTAAGGAAATAAAATACATTCGAACAGGCCCCACAACGTGCCCTGAAAGAGAGAGATTGTGGCAGGGGAGAGCCGGTGGGAGCTTTCAGGCATTACCTCTGATTAGACTTGGCTCCAGTCCCACAAATCATTTCTGAAATGTGACCCCAGAACACGGAGAATGCCAAACTTAACACCTCAACGTCAAACCGAGGGCATTAAAAAATTTATTACGGCAAAGATACAAGAGAGATGACCACGTTTTTAACAAGGGTAAAGAGATTGTAAAACATCTTCTTGGACCACGTCACTGCTACAAAAATTAGACCTGTGGAAGAAAGCATTTTCAGCATGAGACTCATTTGCTTATGGAAATGGGACCTCAGATGAGCAAACAGCAGTTAGCCAGCCCCCTGGAATTCAGATCTCTTTGACCGAAAGGCTCTGCTACACCAAGCAGAGTCCAGGTGATTCTTAACTAAGCAAAACCACTCAACATCCTCCTCTCCTGTAGCTTCTTAATGAGCTGGGAGTGAATCAGCTGTGTTAGGCCAAGGATTTTTTTTTTTTTTTTTTTTCTTTTTTTCCCAAAATAAGAGTCTCTGATGGGCCTGCAGCTGTGGGCCTGGCGATGCGTTCCCAGGGGCACCCTAGCCTGCCCAGAGGGGACTTTCCCTATTGAGTCAAGATCATGAATGTTCTTCATACACTACTTCTGGGAACATAAAATGTGGCAGCCACTCTGGAAAAACAGGCTGGCAGTTCTTCTAAAAGTGAAACCTAAAGTTCTCCTACGACCCAGCCATTCTGCTCTTATATACCCAAGAGAAATGAAAACGTATGTCCACATGAAAACTTGGATACAAGCAACAGTATTCATAAAAGCCCCAAGGTGGAAACAACCCAAATGTCTGCCAACTGATGAATGGATAACTAAAATGTGGTCTATCTGTATGATCTTATTTGGCAATAAAAAGGAATGAGTAAGAAGGAATGATATAGGCTACCACATGGAGGAGCCTTGCAGACATTGTGCTATGAAAAAAGCCAGGCACAGAGGACTAGATATTATCTGGCTCCATGTGTATGGAATGTCCAGAGCAGGAAAATCTACAGAGACAGAAAATAGACTCGTGGTTGCCTAGGGCTGGGCAAAGGGATAGGGAGATGAGCGGGTGATGGCTAATGGGTGTGGGGTTTCCTTTTGGGGTAAGGAAATGTTCTAAAATTGCAGAGATGATTGTAAACTCAGTGAATATATTAGAAGTCACTGAATTACATACTTCACATGGGTGAATTGTATGGTATGGGAATGATCTCTCAATAAAGATGCTAAAAAACAAAACAAAAAAAGACTGGGAAGTGTTGTCACTCCTGAGGGGTGAAGCCTGGTTGGGTGGGGCAGGTACCCAGACATGAGATGCAGGGCACCCCTGGCCTCTTCCAGCCCTGGTGGTATCTCTGGCTAGGGGAGGATGGTTGACCACCCAGCCCTCCCTCAGAGCTCAGCTTCAGAATGTAGCTCCTTGATGAGGGATCCCTTATGTGAGGGGATGACTTTGGTACTTGCAAAATATTGTGTGTGGGCCCTACTGTACTTGAAAACAACGACTCCACCCAACCCCTACCTCATGACTCTGAAATCCAGACAGTTTCACAATGCATCCCACCACCAGGCCTGCCAGATCCTCAGCTCCACGTCTGGCTGTGTGAGCAGGACAGGCCCCATGGCAGGAGGACCAGATTGGCTGTCAGAGGACCTGGGGCCCAAGTCTGGGCTGCGCTTTATGCTTCTGCTCTGCTCTTGAGTATACAAAGGAAGGGCACAGCCAGAGTGACATCTGATCCTTCCAACAACATGCGGAGGAATTGGGAATAGTATGGTTGACAGCCAGCACAGTTAAATGATGCCGCTGAGCAAGGTCTTGATGTGTGTTTTTGAACACATTTTGAGGTTTAGTATTCTTCTCTCTAGCTTCCCTCTGTGATCTTAAACAAGTTGCCCGACTCACCATATCTCACTTTCCTCATCTTAAAATGAGAGCAGTTGAGGGGGTTATCTAGGTTTCCTTCAGACCCTAACAGCCTGTTATTTAGGATGATCTTCTTTGAAGGTGGCCTTCTTCTTTCAGTATTTTAAATACAGTTATATCCTCTCCCAGCCCCAACCAAGTAAGATTCTGTTCCCTTGAATGAGAAGAGAATGCCCCTATGAGCGAGATCCCAACCCAGTTTCTATCCTTTTCATGCCATAGTCTCCAAACAAACCAGTTTACATTAATAACTGCACCCCAACTGGAATTAACTTAGCGATTTCCTACAAGTTCTGCCTAGGTGTTTTCCTTAGTGTTTGAGATAAAACAGTCTCATGTTTGCCTGTTTCTCAAATAACTGATGCCTTGCTCCTGCCAAGTTGAATCTGGCATAAGGAAAATGATATTTGATTTTTCAAAGTAAATCAGATGGACAGATGGGGAGTTGAGATGAATAGTTGAGTAGATAATGGCTGGATGACCAGAAGACTGGATAGATGGCTGATGGATAAATGGATAGGTGAGTAGGTTAAGTGGATGGACAGAAAGGGATGGATGAATGGACGGGTAAATAGTTACATATATGGGTAAGTGGATGACTGGATGGATGGATGGATGTAGATAGCTTGATAGGTAAGTATAGATACTAAGATGTAGGTGGAATAAGAGATACGTACTCAGTCCCATTTTCACCGCTTTGCACTGTGATTTGTGAAGCCCCCAGCTTGGGCCGGAAAAGATTTATCACATGGTTGTTCCAGAGGAACTTAACCTTCTGGATTTTTCCAACATTGAGGTCCACGTCAATGTCACGCATATGACTTGCATGTGGTTTGAGGGATCCCCTGAAAACACAGACATAGAATGTTATATCAGCTGGATATATGAATACAAAGCATGATAGCAATCGAATGTTTCCCTAAACAATGCCGTTGTAGGTTTTCTGCAAATACCTTGAACGACTTCATGTTCGTCCAGGGGCTGCTAAAACACAAATGTATTTGTGAAGCACACATCTGCCAAAAAATATAGGACTCTAGATTTCTACTGTCTTAATTTGTCCTTAGGGGAAATCAAATATTTGGGGAGGCATATTAACCCTATAATTATACTACAAGACTAACTAATGCAATGTCTTATCTTTATTTTTTTATTTTTTTTTAAGATTATATTTATTTATTTGATAGAGAGAGACACAGCGAGAGAGGGAACACAAGCAGGGGGAGTGGGAGAGGGAGAGGCAGGCTTCCCGCGGAGCAGGGAGCC